CCCGGCATATCACAGGCACTCGGGAAACACTGAATGAATAGATAATAGGCAAAGATGACAGTTCACTGTCTGTCCCTGACTAGGCTTCTTTCTATAGAAGCAGATACGTACCTTTGGCTGCTTTAGATCACACTGTGCTATGGAAGCAGGACTAGCCTGTAGGAGAGAGAGAAAGGGTGGGGGGAGGGAGGGAGGGGATGGGGGGGAGAGCGAGAGGTGTAGCCAAGCACTCTAAGGAGGATCCAAACATCTATCCTATGCATGAACTATGCATGCATTAAAGAGGGAATTGCTCAGCATAAAGTTAGAATAACATCTTTGAAACTCCATAGTGTATGTTTCCCAAGTTCTACAAACTCTATCATCAGAAGCGTAAGGAGAAAACAAGTAGCACTGTTCCTACTTTGGTTGACAAGAGTCAACACGAAGTAACACTTACAGTGGACAAAGGAGTCAGTTGTTTTGAAGCCGGACGGGCACGAGCTGCTGCATCCAAGCTTATGATGACGACGAAGAAAACATTGCTTTCACACCTACACAGTCTCATTAAGTAGCTTTGTTCCTTTGAAATGATTAATAAATGATACCCTCTGATGGGTTAGATTTCTTTTTAATTTAATTTTTTTAAGTTGAGGTGACATTCGTTAATAACATTATGTAAGTTCCAGGTGGACACCATTGTAATTCAACATCTGTGCACTGCAGCATGTGCACCACCAGAAGAGCGGACTTGCCTGGGGTCGCACAGTGCTTGGGAGCTGGACCCAGGACTCATGCCTCTCTGGCCCGACAGTCCCCCCCCCACTTTGCTGTGCCACTCCCAAAGGGGGCTCGTTACCCTCGCATCCCAAGTCCAGTTCCACCCACCCCACACCTGCCCACAGTACCCGTTCCCCTCTGATCTGTTCTCTACGTCTGTGACTTTCGTCTTTGCTGTGCTTCCTTCCGTTAGTTCCTTTCTTGTTTCATATTCCACATGAGCGCAATCGTATGTTTTTCATCTCTTCCCTCTGACATACTTCACTCAGTGTAACACCCTCAAGGTCCATCCGTGTGGTCGCCAGTGGTGCTATTTCGTCTTTTCTGTGGGCGAGTAGTATTCCATTTTACACATGTTGAGGAACCCCCACTCTGTTTTCCAACGTGGCCGCTCTAGTGTGCAGTCCCCCCGACAGCGAGGACCCCCATCCTCCCCAACACCCACTTCTCGTCTTTTTGTTGGCAGCCCCCCCGACAGGCGTGAGGCGTTCTCTCACGGCGGCTTCGATGTGCATTTCCCTAACGACCAGTGACATGTGACATCTTCTCCGGTGCCTGTGGGCCCTCTGTATTTGCTCCCTGGGAGAATGTTTGTGTAGATCCTCTGCCTGTTTTTTTATTGTTTCTTTTGTTGTTGTTGTTGTAACGTTGCGCGAGTTCTTTGTACGACATAGTTCGGACAGCAGCCCCTTATCGGACATACCATTTGCAAATATCCTCTCCCGGTCTGCGGGCCCCCCTTCCGTTTTCCGGACGGACTCCTTTGCTGCGCAGCAGCCGGTCGGTCTGTGGCGGTCCCGTCTGTTCGACGGTGTTTCCGTCTCCCGTGCCGCTGGAGTCAGAGCCACCAAGTGTTGCTAAGACTGGGGTCCAGGAGGTTCGCACCTGTTTTCTTCTGGGTATTTTATGGTTTCAGATATTATATTCAGATCCTTAATTGGTTTTGAGGTGGGGGTTTTTTGTGTGTGTGTGTGTGTGCGGTGAAAGACGGCTCACCTGTCAGAGCTCCATGCCTCCTCCTCGAGGAGCCTCTCCCTTTCTGTTTGGTTTCTATTCCGGTCGTCGGGCCTGATGGAGCCTCAGGAGTCTACGCCGCGAGTCAGCAAACCTCGATGTGGAGGGGGAAGCTGGGGCCGCCATCCTTGTCCCAGGGGCCCCGAGAGCCCAAGTCACCTGGGTCATCACGCCACTTCTCCTTTGCCTCGAGAGTCTGTGCGGAGATGGGGAAAAGCCAGCCACTCACAGCGAGAGCAGGTTTTCCTCCCATCCCCAGAGCGCCAGAGGCTTGGGGTGCTGAGTCTGCCACACGGCCTTTGGGCATTAAGATGTTTCTGCCTGCATTGCATGTGTTGGGAATAGAAGTACACTAAGTGGCTTCTCCCACCTCCCAGGGGTCATAGACCCACGGCACTTCCTTCTGCCTTTTCTCGAAAACTCAAGGGTGTCAGCCATTCTGCTGGGAGTTATTACGGCGGAAGGGGCAATTTTATTCTACACCAGCTGGCCCCAGATTGCTGTGCTTTTTGTTTTTTAATCCTCACCCGAGGATATGTTTATTGATTTTAAAGAGAAAGGAAGGGGTGGGGGAGAGAGAGGAACATTAATGTGAGAGAGAAACTTTGGTTGCTCCCCATTCAACTGGTGATCGAACCCGCAACCTAGGCATGCGCCCTGACCAGGGACTGAACCCACAACTTCTTGGTGTGTGGGACGATGCTCCAACCAACCGAGACACCCAGCCAGGGGAGATTGCTGTGCTTTCGAGTTGTCATTGTTTTCTGTCTCCTTCCCTAATAAGTGGCGGTGGGGATGACTTTGGGGGCTTCACACTGCGAGTTTAGGCTCTCCCTGGATGTGACCCCCCTGAGGCATGTTCAGCCCCGCCCACTGCCCCCTCCATCCTGAACGCCCCCTGGTGGTGGCAGCAGCAGCAGCGGTGGCTGCAAGGCAGAAAGTAGCAGCATTCTTCGGTTTTCGTTGTATTTATTGTGTGTACACCAGCTGTTTGTGGAGCGAGTGTTGATTTTGTAATTAAGCGGTGACGTGAAGCTTCTTCCAGAGTAGGATGACTGGTTTACAAAGTCGGGAGAAACCTCACAGCACAGGTGGCGAGAGGGTGAGGCGAAACCGCACAGCTCAGTTCTGAAACGGCCACCACGGGGAGACGCCGGCTCTCTGGAGCGCGCTGTGTCCCACTCACATCCCCTGGGGAGCTCGCCACACACGAAAGATCCCCAGCCAGTTCGTCTGGGCTGGTCCAGGATTCTGCATTTTCAACAAGCCCCCTCCCAGGTGGTGCCGATGCCCTGGCCCCTTGGGGCTCAGGGTTCGACCCCCAGGTCAGCCTGGACCGGCTCTGTCTGTAGGTGCAAGACCCCGCGTGGCTCCCGGGCGCGTTAAGGCCTGGGAAGCGTTGATCTAACAATGCTGGGAGTCCTCCGTGCAGAGTGAGCCCTGGTGAGCAGGGGGGGTTCCGTGCCTTGGTGTCCAGACCGGGTACGACGGGCTCGTGGAAGGAGGCGGCCAGGCCCCCTCTTGGGAACACCCTTCATGTCTCCAGAGCTTTCCTGGACACCACCTGCCCACTTCTGCCCCACATGCTCTTTGAGGCCCACGTCCTCTGGGTAGCTGCCTGCTCTCTGGGTTCTCCGTGGCAGAGGCCGGTGGCTGTGGTGTGGCTGTCTTTCTCGGTACCGCTGCCCCTGGGGATATAATTTGCTTGAAGGACGTGTTCTGGCTGCAGCGACTCGGGGAGGGGGGAGGGATCGTGGGAGAGGCTGGGGCGTGAGGCTTTAAAGCCCCCCATGAGGACAGTGGCACCTGGGGGACAAACGAGGTGGGGACTGACAGAGCCCCCCACTGTGGTGCTCCGTGGTGGGCCTGTCCCCGGGCCCCGTGGCCAGCTCTGTGGGCAGGAGATGGGAATCGGGGCTCCGGGGGTCTCTGAAGTGGGGGCTGTGGGACCCCGACAGGGATGGCAGCCCGTGGGTGACCGATTATGTTTGAAAGGTGGCTGCGTCCCTCTCCCTCATCGTACCCGCTCGTCTCTGGCCGCACATTGCCCAACCCCTGCCGGGGGTGGAGCCAGTCCGCCCTCCTCCTGAGTCTGGGCCGACCTCGCCGAGACTCACGTGGCACCTAATGACACCGCAAGACTGGGGCCGCGTGGTCAGGAAGCCGTGCCGCTTGCGCCTGCTTCTCCTGGGACCCCCGTTCCGAGCCGAGCTCACCTGGCGGGGAGTTGGAGGGAGAGCCGGGCGGTGTGGCCTGCTGGCTGGGAGCTGACAGAGGAAGCCGCAGCCACCTGTCCCCTCCCCCGGTTTTTCTCTTGGTGGTGACCACTGTTCACGTGCCCGGGTGTCGCGGGTTCTGGGGGCGTGAGAGGGGTTGGGAGGGTGAAGAGATGGATGCTTCTCTTCCAGGGTTTTCAAGCATCCAAGGTGGATGCTTAAAGCTGTTTGTCTTCTTTACTTAATTAAATTAATGTAATTAATTTATTTATTTTTAGAGGAGGGGAGGGAGGGAGAAAGAGAGGGAGAGAAAACATCAATGTGAGAAACATCCATCAGTTGCCTCTCCCACATGCCCTGACCCGGAACCAAACCTGCAACCCAGGCCCTTGTCCTGACCGGGAATCGAACCGGTGACCTTTCGCTTTGTGGAATGACTCCTGCCCAACGGAGCCACACCCGTCAGGGCAGAGCTGTTGGGTTTCTTGACAGCAGCCCCAGAATGTTCCTCATCCCCCTTTTCCTTCCTTCCTCCTTCCTCTGCTCTGCATCTCTCTCTTCTTTTCTGGAAGCTTTTTTCCTCACTCTGCCCCCTGCTGGTGGCCTAGAGGGTGGCCGGTTGCCATCAGGGTCACGTGGAGGGAATTTTGTGCCCCCTGCTCTCTGGCCTCTGCCCCCAAACAGGTCCGTTTTATTCCCGAGACTGGCTGGGGCCTTGCCTTGCTCCCGTCTGCCTGAGCCCCCAGTTCTTAGGGTCTCGGTGGGTTACCCTCCCAGCTCTTCTCACAGGCCCAGAAGGGGTCCTCGCTGGCTGGTGGCGACAGGAGATGCTGCCCAGTCTCAGTAGTCCTTCCGCTGTTTCCCCAGCTGGGCCTGGCTGAGACCCACCTGCTCCTGTTCCCTAGAGCACGGCGCTCCCCCGAGGGTGTGCAGGGGCGGCCTTCCCAGGGACCAAGGGCCACCGCTGAGTGCGTGCTCAGCCCTCACGCGCCTTTCTTTGTTTCGTTTCAGTTTTACAGAGTTTTTGGATCCGTTCCAGAGAGTCATCCAGCCGGAGGAGATCTGGCTGTATAAGAACCCTCTGGTGCAGTCCGACAACATACCCACCCGCCTCATGTTTGTAAGTACCGTGATTTCATGGCCGATTTGAGCGCCCTCCCTAGTGTGAGCCGACCCTCCCGAAGACAGCCAGCCGACCGACCTGCGCTCCGGAGAGAGAAGGGAGTTGCCCCAAAGCACACAGCTGGGGGCGGCAGAGCGGGAGTCACCTCCCAGCAGCCAGCTCCCGCCCAGCTCTCAGCCGGGAGGCTGCCCTCCCTGCAGGGGGGCGGGGGGCGTGCTCGGGGCTCCTCGCTGGTGCCAGTGCCACCAGGCCTTTCTGCAGCAGGGGCAATGTGTCAGCTCCGCCTTGCTACTCAGCAGTAACGTAACGTGTGGATGGCAACCTGGGAGAGGAAGGTTATGCCTGTTGCCCAGCCTTTGTGTTCCATGCCCGTGCAAGCTGAAGTGCGTGCTCCAAAGCTTTCACAGAGCACGCCAGAAATATTTTTGCGTTTTGAAAGGAACCCCTCCGATGTTATGGAGGAACTCTTGTTAATTAGTGATGACTAGAAAGATCTCTGTGTCTGCAAACTCCCCCCAAAGGCCCAGAACACTATGTGAGCATTCAAGTGTTATTTTAATTGCTTTTGAAATAATGGCTTTTTTTTTCTCTGCTGGAAAATAAACGTGGACTTTCCTAAATCTCAGGGAAATAGAAAAATTAGGGTGGTTATGAGCAGAACGCTACCTAGCATTTGAGTATAAAAACAAGACTTTATCCGTTTTGGCTCCAACTCAAATCTTCTAAAAGTCTTAGAAATAAAGGAACCACTGTGTATCTGACTAGTGCACCCCATGGCTTCAGTGTGGGGAGCTTTTCTTTATTGCTTATCCGCACCCCACTCTTCAAAGATTTGCACTGCATGTGCGGTAGGACACCATTTGGAGATGCCTCGTTCATGTGAGAACCTGGTGGCTGTGTGCTAGGTGTGTGTGAACAATGGGTTGCTTTGAAGTCTCGATGCAGATGCTCCAAAGATGCTGGGTGCAGCTGCGTGCAGGGGGGAGCCCATTTGCGTGTGGGCAGGGGCGGGGAGGAGGCCGGTGAAGGCATTATTCAGGGCTGGGGTTCTCAGAGAGGGGAATGGTGTTCAGCCTCGAATCCTGATACACACCCACTGATCTCCTAACGAAAAGAGTTCGACCTTCTGTTTCCTTAATAGCAGTTGACGAATTTCGTTCCTTTAGTCACAGGATATGGCGAGATTCTGTGGTAACACAAGGAAAGCAGTAGATACATTTGTGATACCTGAACCCTGAGATGGAAAATACCTTATCGTCATGTAAGTTAGATTCGTTTTGCTGGGTTTTATGAAGACTTTAATAGGAGGCCTCATCGGTCTGCTTTGGGTTTTTAAAAACCTCAGGTATTTATAGAAAAAAAATGTAATAGAACATATGTTTTTACTGTTTTTAAGAAATAACTTGGTTTCCCTAGAAAGCTCAAATTTCATTATTTGAATACATAATGAATGATAAAACAGTCCTGAGGTCTCTTGTACTTTTGGTGAGAATATTTTAATCTGAAGACAAACTTTCTAATGAAGATACTGTTAAAAGCAGCTGCTATTAAACCTTGATGTTTCATTCCTGGGAAATGAGTGTTCCCAGCATGTGTGTGTTTCAGAGCAGCCGCTAGGTCAGATGTCACGGAAGATGTGAGCAGGTAATGGTTAAGGGACTGCGTTAAATGCGGAGCAAGTGGCACTGCCCTCGCCAGGAAGCCCTCAAGCGCGTGTCCTGTCTCTGGCACCCTCGGCCAAGGGGACCGTGTCCGTCCCCAAGGAAGTTGGTTGAGGCTGGGCCCTCGGCTTCCTGGAGCTCGTTTCCCGTGCAGACTCTGGCTTCCGGCGGACCAGACAGACGGGCCGAGAACTGGTTTCATGGGCCCCGAGTCTGACTCAGCACTTCTTGCATGTACCCAAGCCACTGGCTGCTCCCTCATTCAGAAGAGGTCGTGGCTCCTTCCTGAGCACGTGGGGCTTATCAGAGCGTCTTTGAAAACCTCCTTCCGGTGAAGGAGCACTCTGGGGGTGTTTTGCGTGTGGCTTTTGAGCGCGCTCTGTGTCGTCTGTGGTTGCCAGGTCTCCGTACATTCAGGGAGCACGCTCGGAGTCTGCTCCGGGCAGGGAAGCCAGGGGAGCTGCCGGTGACGGGAGGTGACATCAGACCCTTGGGGTACACCCTCAGGACCCTGCAGGCTCCTTGGAAGGAAAACAGAACCTGGAGAGGGCCAGAGGAGGGGCTCATTGTCATTGTTGTCGTCACCATCGTCACAGTCACAATCATCATCATCATCATCGTCACAACAGCTGACATCTCTGGCGTGCAGGAATGGTGCTCGTCACTTTGAAGAGCACCTTGGACCATCCTTCCCAGAACCCCTGAGGTCGTGCTTCTGTCATCCCATAATTGCAGTGGGGACAGTGAGACCGTGGTGAGATTTGGCAGCTTGTCCGAGGTTGTGCACCTGTCGGCGGCTGGGCCAGGACCTGGATGCCAGCTGCCAGAGCCCATTCAGCTGGGATGCCTCCCTGGGGGCTCGGGTGACGTGGAGTCATGGCGAGTGGCGGGTCGCACACGGGAGAGCAGGCGTGTAAAGGCACAGACTCGGGGGCGGAAGGGCTGTGTCGGCCCAGTGACGGAGGGGCTGAGGGAGGCGGCGATAGAAGCAGCCGGTGGACAGCTTCAGGGTGGCTAATTGCCGAGGTGCAAAGCTGAATGAGGTCGCCACTAGTCTAGTGGGGGACGTGGGCGTGGACGTGGGCCGGTCGCCTCAGCATCACAGGGAGGCCCCAGAGAAGCAGGCGAGAGTCACGTGTGAAAGTGAGGAAGGTGGCGTCCCCACTCACCTCCTTGGCTGACAAAAGTCTGCCCCAGACTTCTGCCCTGGTCCCTTTGGGCCTGGGCCGTGGTGCCTCCAGAAGGTGTTTCTGTAGAACAGTATTGGTAATTGTGTTGCTCTGATGACAGTTTCCTCTTGTGGAAGAGGATGCTTCTAAGGAAGACAGAAATAAAGTCATTTTGGGGGAGGAGGGGAGGAAAAGAGACAAAGCCGGCCCGTGACAGTTTAATTTTTAGACCCGTGGAAAGTCTCAGACGGCGCTTTTGTCTGCGAAGGGCTCCGATTGTTCGCCTGCAGCTCCGATTGTTCTCCGGTGTCTGCGCGTCCTGGGCTGTCTGTCTGTCTGAGCACCTAGCAGCGTGTGTTCCTGTCAACTGCCAGAGGTTCAGGCGGGCGGGCCCCTCGTGTGTCTGACGCGAGTGAGCCCCCGAGACAAGCTCCTCCCTGCCCGGCGCCCTGCTGTCAGCTGCTGTGCTCTGACCCTTGGCTTGCTCAGAGTGTCGGGTGTGCTCGTGCCTGCGCCCTTCAGACACGCTGCCCTGTGCTTTGGCGGCCCCCTGAAGCCTCCTGGCAGCCCCCCGAAGTCTTCTGGAAGCCCACCGCCCCGCAGCAGCACGCGGACGGTGGGGGGACCCCCCTAGGGAGCAGCAGCCGCACTTCCTGTGTTGGTTTCCCTGGGGGTGCACAGGCAGGGCCCTGGCGGGAGGCGTGGGTCACGTGGGTCACCTGGGACATGGACGAGGTGCCCAGGCAGGTTAGGCTCTGCCTGCCCCGACCTCCTTCCCGCACTTGAAGGTGCCCCCCACCCCCATCCCGATCCGGCTCCTCAGACCCGAGGCCACAGGGGGCTGGAGCGCAGCTCAACACACCTGTCCCCTCCTGCCTGCTCACGGGACCCTGGTGCCCTTTCACTGCCTTGGGACATTTGCTGGCAGTTTCCCTGGGAGGAACGACTCGGTGGCGCCCACAGGCGGCCTTGACTGAGTGCTGACCGTCTGCTGGACCCTGTGGGCGGGCAGTTGGCGTGGGCTCCAGCGAGAACTGCTGGCTCCAGTCGACTCCCAGCTTTGCTGCTAACCAGCTCCGCAGGTCGGGAAAACCGCCTAGCCTCTCAGTGCCTCGGTTTCCCCGTCTGTAAAAGGGTCTGTAACAACACTTCCCTTCCCCTCCCCCGCAATGTTGAGAGCATCCGATCACAGGAAAGCCCTGGACACAGATGACCAGCAAGACTCAGATGTGAACCTGAGCAATAGTAGGGGTTCCCCGGTTTCCTCTGCGGCTTTAGGAGGAAAAAATCTACCTGAGACTTATGACACTTCTCTTTGTGTGTGGCACGTTAGACGCCTTCAGTAACTGGCAGTGCATTGCATTTAAATGCTGGCAATAGTACTTTCTGCAGGTAATATCGTACCCATCGTACAGGTGAGGAGCTGACACTCAGAGGTGAAGAGGTTAAGTGACTTGCTCAAGGTCACAGAGCTGGTAAGCATCAGAGGTGGGGCTCGAACCCAGCTCCCCTTGATCGGCGTGTGTCCCACACATTTTTCTCCATAGAGCTCTGTTCCCAGCCTGCGTGAACAGCCTCACGCAAGACCAGCCACGTACCAGATCCTGCTCGATGATTTGTATACGTTATCTTGACAAGGGGTGCTTTGTAGTACAACTAACTAGTAATTTATGGAATGTTCTTTAACATGAGATGTATCTCAGCCTCAGTTTCCCCATCTGGAAGATGGGCTGTTGGGCCGCGGGGACCCCTGTGGTTCAGGACTCCAACCTGGCAGCTCGGCAGCCCAGGTGTGGGCGCTCCCTCGTCCCTCTGGCTGCGTGCTTGTGTGTGTCACTTACCTCTCTGATGGCTGTCTTGTTATCTGTGCAAGGAGGAAGACGTTTCCAGGTAGTAATGTTCACAGAGCAGTGAGAGGATTAGACAAGCCTGGGGAAATACATAGTGGGCGCTTCACCCATGATTGCTGCCACTCGCCTTTCTGGGAGTTATCCTCGTGTCTGGAGAGGAGCGTCCGTGCTTCCCCCCTGCGCTCCGGAGAAAAGGCACGTGCCAGGGTTTGTTACTGCATCTAACTTTCCGCAGTGAGAACATCGATGCCGCTGCGATTTAAAGTGCAGAGCCTGATCCTGCCTGGGTGCAAAACCCAGGATTAGCACCTGGGAGCTGTGTGACTTTAAGCAGGTCGCCTGACCTCTCTGTGCCTTTGTTTCCTGTCCATGAAGTAAGGAGCCTTCTCCAGGGAGTTGCTGGGAGGGTTGAAGGAGGTAATTAGCAATGAAGCGCTAGACGAGCCCACAGCCCTTGGTGAGGTCTGAGAACACGGCAGCCTTTATCCGACGTGAGCGTGCACACTCGGCAGCCCGGGACTCATGGCCAGCGGGGACGTCTCAAGCAGAGAGAGGGCAGTGCGTCCCCTGCACCCCGCAGCCGTGACTGGCTGCAGTTCCTTGTTCTGCTCCCTCGTGGGTCCCCTTTAACGAGCAGTAGTCACTCACTGTCTTTTTACGCCGGGCTCACTCCCAGGCTTTCCAGACTCTCTTTTTAAGCCGGGGAAACATTGACCTAAGGAAACAACCCCAGGGGAGATGTTGCTGGCCCTTGTTCATCCCGCGTATCCGCTGCTGTTTGGAGGTAGAAGGAACCACCCCCCCACGCCGTGTCTCCATGCCCGGCTTCCTCTCGCCCACGGCTTCTCTGAAGGCTTTGGTCACAAGGGCAGGAGTGGCGAGGAGTTGAACTCAGCCTGGGCTGCTGGCTGCTGGCGGGGCGCTCGCTGGCTCTTCATCCCTCTCTCGCTGCCCGTCAGGGTGCTGTGGTCCCAAGAGGAGGATGTGCTCCCGAGGGTCGGCTTCTCCTGCTTCCAGCCGAAAAGCCGGTGGTTAGAAGGGGCAGATGAGAACCCTGAGCGTCTCCATCTGCCCTGACCCAAGGGCAGCGCTGCCCGGGGAGATGGTGGGCGTGTTCCCAGGAAGAAGAAGGGAGCCTGTGTCGTGCCGCTGGGAGGGGAGGAGGAGGGGAGAATCACCGCCGTGTGGCCCCATGTTTCTGTCACCCAGGCCAGGGTGTGGCTCTGTGTCTGCTGGCCACGATCCCTCGCCTCTGACGCTCACCAAGTGGGGAGCCTGGCTGTCCCGGGCGCTTGGCATCGGCTCCAGACGCCGTTGAATTAAGTGCAGTCTGGTCGGCGAGTGGGGGCGAGGGTCCAGTTCGGTGCAGGAGAGGGGGCAGGAGGCGGAGCTGAGACCCGCTGGCAGCCCCCACGTGCTGCTTCTGGGGCTTTCTTTCTGTCCAGCCCGTAAGGCGTCTTAGTTCTGTGTGCTCTTAGGTGAGGTTTGATCGTCGGGGGTGGGGGGGTGACCTTGGACTTAAGTAAGCGTGGCCTTCGGCCACCACTGTGGAAACATCCCTTCGGTCTCGAATGTGAGAGGCAAGACCCCGCGGTAGGTTTCTCAGCCGCCGGCAGGCATCGGTGTTCTCAGAGACGCAGGCTGTCAGGCCCGCCCTGGAGGCACGTTTGAGGGACTCAGCCTCGTCGCCGTCCTGTGCTGTGTGTTCAGGGGCAAGAGCCGTGGCCGGCCCCGCGGGAGGGAACTCTGAAGCAGCCGGCAGGTGCTGCCGCTGGAGTCCCCGCTGGGCAGGTTCTCTGCTTGTCGGCTTCGCCCCGAGTCTCTCCCCCTGCGGCCGCCCTCGGGCCCAGGTCGCACGCACTCTTGTGCACGCCCCCGCGGGACCGGGCGTGCTGTCCGCTGTTGCCACCGCCAAGCCTCTCAGGGCCACAGCTGATGCGGGAGCTCATCGAGGTTGTTACGGCCCCTTGTGATCAGGAAGAAACACCACGGAGTGAGGAGGGGGCTTCTCGTGTCTCACGAACTGTCTCTGGAGACGACTCCCGGAGCGGCCCTCCCCCCCCCCCAGGGTGCTGTGAGCTCTGGCCGTTGGGGTGTAGTCGGGACGCAGTGCGTGTTCAGACGGAGGAGTTCTGCTCTCACAAAAGCATCTCCAGCCATGCTTGAGCCCTCTTAGGAAGCCCCTCTCCAAAAAGTGGCATTGCGATAGGACACAGGTGGAGACTTCCAGAAGGGTGAAAGGTATTGGTCCGTAGTTCATCACATCTCCACCCCTCCCGCCCCCGACTGTGAGGCCCCTGGTGGATCCGTGAGACACGCAGTCCCTTCTGACAGCGTTCTCCTGAGATGTTACCATCCTAAGGAAGTAACATAAATATCTTTTTCTTGGTTGTCGGAATGTTGCAGACAACTTCCTGATTCTAGAATGCTGAGTGAAGACCAGGTACGGCAGGCAGGAAACCTGGTGTCCGGAGCCTGGCCTCGCTCCTCACCAGCCCTGTGTCCGCTCTCACTCTGAGCTCCCAGCCTGGCCAGGAGGGTCACAGAGCCATGCTGAGGGTTTAAGAGACTCCAGCACCTGGTGGCACCTGAGCACAGTCCCGGCCTCACGCACGGCCGGTTCTGTACTGTGCTGCTTGCCTCTGACTCCCACCAGCTCGGCTCACGGAGCACTTGTTGCACTTCTGTGTGCTTTGGGCCCGGGAAGGAAGGGGGTGGGGGAAAGGAAGAAGAGAGACTTAGTGCAAAAGGGCTGACCTCTGTTTTGCCGAGGACATGAACATTCAACAAAACAGCAGCAAGAGGGCGTGCACCGCTGGGGGCTAAGCCAGTCCCACATGCTCCCGTGTTGCCACAGAGCTGGGGACGGGCGGCTGGGGGTTCTTCCACCCTTCTGCAGGAAGGACCTGATGGGGCTTCCTGGCCAAAATGAGTCATTGTAATGATAGGCTACTCCTTCCTGTTTAAAAACCACCACTTTAAACATGGCTCCCCAGCCATCGTAAGTCAATTATGACCTGCAAGTGACCTCCAGTTTTCCAAGGTGGTGGAGTGTCTAAGTGCGGATATAAATCCTCCTTCTTTGTAGGAGGTCAAGGGTGTTCAGTGAGACCGTTCAGCTGGTGAGTCTAAACGAAGCTAACTGCAGCTAATTACCCACCAGCCCCCCCGATGGCCGGCCGCTGTCCTCACGAGGGATTGTCTGTTGTTTCTTCCAGGCGATTTCTTTCCTCACGCCCCTGGCCGTCATCTGTGTGGTAAAGATCATCCGGCGGACGGACAAGACTGAGATCAAGGAAGCCTTCTTGGGTAGAGTATCCGCAGTTCCCCTGTCAGGGCCGGGGCTGAGCGGGGTGAGGTCGCTCGGTGTAAAGGAACCTCAGCTGCACCCAGCTGACACTTCTCTTGGCCGAGTTGAGCCTGGGAGAAGCAAGACAAGATGCACTCAAGCCCTCAGGAGCTCCAAGGCCCAGATGAGAAGCAACATCTCTTCAGTGGCCATGGCTGCCGCTGTCCATTGTGCTGAATCTCAATGCCCACTTCCACCGCAGAAATCTGGGCCGCCCGGGCCCAGCCTCGGGGTAGCTCTTGGTGGTCAGGGACAGCGAACCTGAGCTTTGTCACCACGGACTGTCCGACCTCACACTTGTGGCTAACGGGCCCACACTCCAGGCCGGTCAGAAACCGACCACCACGGACCCTTGGGCCGATCACCCGGGGCGGGAGGCCACATTGGGCGGAAGCAGGTGTCCGATAGCGGAGAAGTTAGAGGCAGGCTCCGTAACTGGTGTTCACGTTCGGGACGTGCTGGCGGTCACGCAGCTGGGACTGGGTACGGGGCGCTGCAGCCTTTGCCATCAGGACGGCGTCACTGCTGATTCTCCCCGAGCCGAGCCCTGCCTGCCTGCGACAGGTGTTTGGGGATGCATTTGTTTTCTGACCTGCACGTTAGTCGAACGCTGAGTGGGTGGCAGTCTTACGGGGAAAGCCAGAACTGTTTGGCTTATTTAGCAACCAGCGTAAACTTCCCAGCGGCCAGGTGTTCAGCTTTTCGATTATTAGGAAAGGTGAGTTATGTTTATTTTTTGACATCACAGATGAAAGGTACTCAAGCCCTCACACGGATTTTGCTGTTGCTATGTTATGTGGACTTAACATTCAGTTAGGTAGTACATCTGAAAATAGGCGATACCCCTCTAAAGGAGACGTTTGTAAATTATGGGGCTTTGAGGAAATGCAAATGTAGCAGAGAGTGGTCCTGGTTGTGTTGGCGAGGGCGTGAGGGTGAGGGCACAGTCTGGGCTCACCGAGGGGGAAGGGGCCCACCTTCCGCCCTGAGGCAGGGCGCGGAACCTTGCGCATGCACCCAGGCTCTGGCTAGGCTCTGCCTCGTTGCGAAGACCAGAATCCCTTTCAGATTAGCTCCGATAAATTAGGGGTTTTGTTACAGGCCTACACAAGCCACTTCACAGACATCCAAGACCAGGGGGGGAGGGACAGGAGGAGCCTCGTGGGGGCTGGAGGTAGGAACCTGGGCAGTGAGGGGTGGAGACACCACCCGGTCCCGACTGCCGCTCTCTGTAAGGTGCCTTCCCCGTCAGCATGCTCCACGCCTCCTTCTCCTGTCTGGACATCCTCTCTGCCGCCCGCACCTTTGGTGGGTGTGAGGCTTGGCGGTGGTGGGAGCCCCCACCCTGTCCATTCCGCTCCAGTGCCCACCTCCAAGTCCCGCCTCCACCCGTGGCCCAGACCCCCCAGGCAGAGGCTCTGGCTCCGCCCACCCCTCAGTCCTGGCCGCAGGGGCCACGAGCCTCTGGCCAGCTGGTAAATGCCCGCCCTCGGCCGGCGGAGGACCCCAGGCTGCCCATCTGTGCTCTCAGGGTTTGGTGGCCACATGGCCCCAGTCTCCCCAGCTGGGTGGCGGGAAGGTCAGCTCTTCCGACAAGGGCACTGGTGTCCCTCCCATGCATGGCCCCAGCAGCTCGGGCAGTGTTCGGACACATGTCGCTGTGGTCCCCAGAACGTCCTGTTGGGAGCCCTCTCAGGTGCTCTGGAAATCCCTTCCCCCACTTTTTATCCTGGTCTCCCCCCTGGAACAACACCCCCGATGCCGTGACCTTGGGCGAGAGGTTCACGGGAGTTCACTGCCGGCCTTTGATGTCTGGCTGCCGCTGCGTCAGCGAGCAGCTCCCCATCACTCTCTCCAGCCCTCTCCTCTCTCGGCTGCATCTCCCTGCGGTGGCGTTTCACTACCGCACCCCACGCCCCGCCTCCGGGGACTTAACAGAGAAGGCGGAGTCGCTGGCTGTTCTGCTTGCCTGGGTGACCGACAGCCGGTCCCGCAGGAATGACTGAGAGCCTCGTGCTGACCATGCTCTTTAAAGATACAGTCACTTCTTTTAGGAAGCCTTAGACATAGGGGGTGGGGGGTGGTCTTTAAAAGGCAAGGAATTCGGGACTCTGTCAGCGAGGGGGGCTCCGTGCTCAGCCCTCCTCCACTCAGGCCTCCTCCTCGGACCTGGGCACCCCGAGCGCCCCTCAGCTGCATGTCGCAGTGGGCAGCTTTGCGCACCTGCTGTCGGACAAGGGGAGGGAGGCTGGCCCACGCAGCCTGGGGCTTGACGGGAGGCAGGCAGAGGGCAGCCAGGCCTGCGTCACGGAGCACCCTGTTGTGGGAGGAAGGTGTTAGGTCCCAGCAACAGCGAACGTAGCGACCGAAGCCCGGCGCGCCTCTGGGATGCTCGTTACAGAGGATGCTCAGGACAGGCCGCTGCCAGGCCAGCTCGCATGACACGCGGCTTGGAACTGTGTTGCCAGACACAGTCTGGTTTGTCTCTGTGACCTCCTCAGGCCCCCGGATGCTGTAAACACAGCCCTTTCAAAGCAGGCCCGCTGGGTTATTATTAATCAGCAGCCCCCCTCCCTGCCCAGTGAGGGTCTTCCTTTCCTGCTCGGCCAGCCTCCTCTCTGGGATCAGCGAGGAGCCCTGTATCGGTGCCCTGGGGGTTGGGCTCTCCAGATGAAAGTGATCATTGAGTCAGTTTACGTCCAGAATGCTGCGAGGAGGTCCACCCTCGATATTGCCGCTCCAGACCCCCGTCCTTTCTGTCTCCTCTTGGATCAGAGGGGGAAGCTGCCAGCCACTGGGGGTTACGTCACATGCCCACACTTTCTGGCCCCGCTGCTTGACTCGTTTCAAAGGGCTGGGCTGTGCTGCAGTGGGCCCAGCTGGTGCACAGTCGGGGTAGGGGTGGTGTTTGGGTCTGATGCAGCACCCTTGAAATTCAGTGGCCTCGAAGTTCCCCAAGGACTTTGGAAGGTCAGCTGGGGAGGCTTGTTCCCAGAGACCATTTCTGTGCTAAAGGCCACATTAGGACCAGGGTAAGAAGAAGTCTGATGCCGCTGGAGAACACAGCAGCGAGCCCGCCGGGCCGACCCTGGCGGGGAGACCCCAGTTATTTCTGGGCGACCTCACAGCCTGCTCAGCCTCACGGCTCCGGGGGGACGCAGCAGCTGAGGGAGCCCAGGGAATCCCCCCCGCTTCTCTGCGAAGGGCGCCTCTGAGCAGGGCTCCGAGCTGGCGAGAGAGACGGGAGGCCAGCATTTGAGGAAGGAAGGGTCAGTGCGTGCAGAACGTAATCAGAGGATTTCTCTGCATTTCGCAGTCTTGGGCTCAATGTCTACATCCAGGTGCCCGCTGGGCGTTTCAGTGGTGCTGCCGGGCTGCTGACACATGCTCCGCTGTCCGCCGCCCCCCCCCGGTGGCCCACCCCCCCTTGGCTGCCTCACTGAGATACAGTAGTGTTCCCTGTCTCTCACTGGGTGATGAGTTTCCCTTGGACAGAGGTCTTCATGTGAACCGGCCCCTCCCATTCTCTCTGCCTCCCAGCACTTGCTAAAAGCAGGTAGGTGTTCCACTGTGCAGGTGTACCACACCTTTTCTGCTCATCTGCTCATCTGCTGATGGGCGCTGGGGCTGCTTCCCTGTCTTGGCGATTGTAAATAACACTGCAGTGAACACATGGGTACATATAGTCTTCTGATTGGTGTTTCGGGATTCTTAGGATGTATTCCCTGAAGTGGGATCGCTGGGTCATAAGGCAGATCGATGTTTAATTTTCTGAGGAAACTCCATACTGCTGTCCCCAGTGGCCGCACCAGTCTGCATCCCACCCACCGTGCACCAGGGTCCCCCTCTCTGCACAGCCTCACCGGCACCTGCGGTTTGTAGGTTTATCGATGTGGTCGTTCCAGCAGGTGTGAGGTGATGATACACGACTCTGCGGCGAGAAAGGAGGAGATGGTACCTTTTGCGACAGCAAGGATGGACCTGGAGGGCATTGTGCTAAGGGAAATAAGCCAGTCAGAGAAAGACACACGCATAAATGCCTTACGACTTCCCTTGTATGTGGGATCTAGTGAACGAGACAGACACAGACTCATAGATCCGGAGAACAGACAGACAGCGGTCAGAGGTGGGGGGGGGCTGGCGGGCCGGGTGGAGGGAGTAGTAAGCAAGACATAAATGGCACTCACAGACACAGACGGCAGTATGGTGACCGCCGGAGGGAGAGGGGGTGGGGGCAGGCAGAAGGGGGTGCAGGGGGCTTCGTGGCCATGAGTTGCTCTAGGCAGCCCCTTCCCGAAAATGTCCCCCCCCCACTGCTGTTTCCCTACATGAACCGCAGCTGGTATGGAGTCGTCAGTGTTTGCCAAAGGGAAGCGGTAGCTCCCGGCTTTGTCAGCACAGCAGTGGAACGGGCACCTCACGGGGCACCTGACGGCGTGCGCCCAGCGTCTGACCTTCCGTCACGCTGACTTGCCTCTGGTGCGGCCTTGGTGCCCGCGTGTGCGAGGCCCGTGCACCGGCAGCGCTGTGACACGTGTCCCTTGCACGCCGCGGGTGATCTGCACTTCATCCGTCCAAGTCCTTCGGAGCCGCCTGGAGAAAGCCCCGGGCTGTACGTTTTAAAATACCGTGTTCTGAAAGTTCCTGCGGTTTTCTGCGGCCAGGAGCACCGCCTGGGCCAGCCTTCTCAAAGCCCAGCGAGGTCCTGGGACTCCTCACCTTCTCGGAAACAGTGACCAGCCTGATGACAAAGGGACACCCGTTGGCAGGTGACGGGGTCTGCGAGAGGCGATGTCCGAGTTTGCAGAAGGGTTCCAGCAGCAGCAGCTCCGGTGGGAACTACGTCTGAGAGGGTTGCCAGAAGGAAATTAAAAAGTTCCCGTTTCTCGCCACCCGCAAAAGAGATGCTGCCTGCCGGGGCGTTAAATCTGTCCGTGTCAGGCCGGGGCGTGATCGGTGGGCCCCTTTGCTGTGTGGGAAATTTCAGCCAAGGAGGCGGGAGAAAGCTCAGGTCAGAGGGACCTGGGATTTAGTGAGTCACTCTCCCAGGTCTTGTCCTGGTTGTGTTTTACCCTGGCTTCCCAGACCTCCCTCTGCCTTTGAAAGCGTCGGCGCGTATTTCTGGGGCCGTCAGTTAACCAGTGTGATGACGAGGTGGGTGGCGACAGTGAGGTGGGAGCCAGCTGGTTACTCTTCTGTCTGCCGGTTTTGTTTTGTAGCGGTGTCCCTGGCTCTCGCGTTGAATGGAGTCTGCACCAACACGATCAAGTTAATAGTGGGAAGGTAAGTTCTGAAAAGAAGCGATCGGTGGTTTAGAAGCTCTGGGTCATCTGTGTAGGAGCCGTGGTCACAGGACGCGGTATGGGACGCATTCAAGCTCTTCTCTGATTTCTGCTGAGGTCGTTGTCCTTCTGGGGCGTTTGTCCTCAGCACGGATCTTTTCTGTGCTTTGGATGGTGGGCTCCCTCTCTCAGACAGCGGGAGAGGAAGTGGAGAGAAGGGGTCACTCTCCTGCGGGTCAGGACCAGCTGCTGGCGTTGCCAGTCCGTCCACCACGCTCCCAGGGCCTCACTCAGCAGACACCCACTCATGTGGCAGCTTTGCCCCCACCCCCACGTGCAATAAGGTCACTCTCTTGGGGGTGAGAGGCATGGACTGGCAGCTGTGTTTCAGCTTATGGCACGTTTCCCTTACACTCCTGGGAGACGATTTCTCTTCTCCCTTTATCTCCGCCCGGCCCCCGACTGCCCGGGCAGGGAGCCAGTCTCTGCAGAGTGGAGCAGGCAAAGGCCTGAGTTCGACGCCTGACTCTGGCCCCCACCCAGGGTTGGCCTGGGGCAGGGTGTCTCCCCGCTCAGCACTCAGCATGCACTGACTGTCTGCTCGGTGCAGGGCGCTGCCAGGCACCAGGGGGGCAGGGGGAGGACCAAATGGGGCAGCCCGGACCTGACACTGCCGTGTCCTCCCGCAGTCCATGCTCAGAGTTGCTGGGGGGGGGGGCCCCCCCTCCACAAAATGCTGATTCCCAGGCCCGGTCTGCTCTGAGGCTTGGGTTCATTAGGTGAATAAGTACACTTGCATCTCTGATAGAGTACTGAAATTGATTATGGATATAGATATTGATGGATTATTATTGGGCCCAGATCCCGGAGCTGGGCGGGGGGGGGGGGGGTGCTCCAGTGAGTCAGCGTGTGTGAGCTGTGACCCGATATCTGTGCAGGAAAGGGGCCCTGCGTTGGCGGCGGGGGCAGAGCCTTGCCTGTTCGGGGCCTTCGGCGACCAGGGGTCGCACTGACGTGAAGTGGTTGGCCTGCGGCCACTACACGCCCCTGGGGGCGTCCTCGCCTGAGTGAAGCCGGCAGGCAGGCGTGGGGTGAGGGGTGTAGGCGCAGGAATCCAAAGCTGTGGGGGTCCGGAGCTGGTCTTTGCCACTTACTGGTTGTGTGTGACCTCGGGCAGGGGTGTGAGCTTTCGCAGCCTTTGCTTTTGTGTGAGTAGAAAGAAAAAAGTCCTGGGATTGGCCCCGGGGCACGGTGCAGTGCTCAGCGCTGTGCCTGGTCCCCAGCAAGTACTCGAAGTGGCCGTGGCCGTGGCCGGAGGCTCCGCCCCACCCTGCCGGGTCTCTCCCACCACACTGGGTGGCTGTGGGCTCGGCATCGTGGGGCAGGGCTGACCGGTCCCCTCCGTGAGGTTAACTGAGACTTGCTCTCGGAGGAAGGGCAGTGGGCCATCCAGGGTCAAGATGAAGGGGCCTGCACAGCCCGGAGTCTTGGACCCTGGATGCAGCCTTTGCCCGCAGGGCCCCAGGTCGAGGCGGGAGCTGCCTGTGACGTCACCAGCACCGAGCTCAGGTTCCTCCTATAGGGCGTGAACCCTCAGCCCCTCACCTTCGGGTAGGTGTGACCTCCCCCTCTTACGGATGTGGGAGCATGGCCTTCCCAAGGTGGGAAAACCAGTAAGTGGCAGAGCGGGAGTTCCGACTCAGACCTCCCGGACCCCGAAGCCTAAGCTTTGCCCAAGACCGCCGTGCGTGGGGCTCTCGGCGTGGAGCTCGGGTGTTGGTGGCAGAAGGAGCTGGGGACGGCCGGGGAGGGTGGGGGTCAGCTCGGGGCTCGTTGGCGATGGCAGCGTTTTATATTGAAAATGTCCATGGTGTCTTTTGTAGACCTCGCCCCGATTTCTTTTACCGCTGCTTTCCAGATGGAGTGATGAACTCGGAAATGCACTGCACGGGGGACCCCGACCTGGTTTCCGAGGGCCGCAAAAGCTTCCCCAGCATCCACTCCTCCTGTGAGTTCCCTGCGGGGGGCTGCTATTGCCTGTCACGCTTCTCGGGGAGGTCAGGGGGCGGGCGGAGTGTTGGCTCGCGAGGGCCGGGCACAGGTCCCCTGTCTCCACCGTCGGGGCCTCGGCGTACAAACAGGACCTTCAGCTGGAAGTGATAGGTCTGTGAACGAGGCTCCAGAGTTGACAGAACTTGGGGTGTGCTGGATTTGCAGGCTCAGCAGGGTGTAACACGTGACACTGGACCCTGTGTCCATAGGATTCAGGGACTTGACCTTGCTGGGAGTTCACTGTGCTCACTGGGACCGTCTACTTTTTAGCTCAGTGTTCGCTCTAGTTTATTCCTTCAGTGAAGGTGCTGTGTGTGTGTGTGTGCGCGTGTGTGTACCCCTATGTAGCGTGTAAATGTATGCATACATACACACTACACACAGTATCTATAATCTGATTGCAGATATTCCAGCTGGGACCAGCCTTAGGCCAAGGTGAAATAATGTGAATGAAGTGCAGAGGGGAGAGCAAGGTCTTTGATGACGTGCGAGCGTTCCTGGCTCTGGGGCGTCACGTCTCTGAGCCCCGGTTCCCGCTGGTAAACCGGGAGGACGGTGCCTCCGTTCCTGGCCGGGCTGAGGGTCAGAGCACGCCCTGGTGATCGCGGACGCCCCTGGGGCGTGTGCGGTGCCTAAATGTTTACTTGCTTCGTCTTGTCTAATCCACTCTGTCAAGCACCTAGTGCAGTGCTTTAAGCAAACAGCGGTTACCATGTCGTCATTTATCCCCGGAGCTGGGGTTCCCAGAGCCTCCTGGCTCCTCCATTCCGTCAGAGCTTATTGAAGGACTTCGGTGCCAGGCGCTGTGCCAGGTGCGGGGGGCACGCAGGTGACTACGCTACGGCGTGTGTCCTGGGGAGCCCCCCCCCGCCAGGCTGTGGCAGACTGGAGGTGTGTGTTGGTGGCTGTGGGGTGAGAGGAGAAGGACTACAACCACAGGTGACCGCCGGAGCGGACAGGTGCGGCCGTGATCTGCAGCCCTTGATTCCCCGAGACTGGTCCTCTTCACCTTGGGCGAGCCTGCCACCTCAGTCCTTCCTGTTTTTTCCTGGGTATCTACGGCGCACCCCAGTGGTGCCTGGGTCAAGGAGTAGTAACTGGAGGCCCTCTCCTGCCGCGTGGTTGCTGGACACTTAGCTCAGGGCCACGGGGGCTGGGTCTGTCGGCAGTGTCCAGGTGCCGGGTCCTCTGAGCGGGAGGGGCCGGCGGCCTGCACGGCAGCCTGCCAGGGCGGGTTGTCTCAGTGGTGCACACGGGCGGGAGGCTCCGACAGACTCTGTCTCGTCCAAGGAGACTTAGCGGACCCTCACACCGACCTCTGACATGATAGTGTCTTGGGGAACTTAGTGATTAAATACAAGGATGTGTTTACAGTCCGCGTTCATTCCAGTAAATAACTCGGCTTCTCCTCTGGTTTGTCGGAGACTGGGGGGGTTCAGTGGTGGCCCCCAGAGATGCCGGCTGGAGGCACACCTGCGGAGATGCTGTCTCCTCATCGCCGGGGCCTCCGGCGCTGGCCGTGGGGGCCCCTGGCCCGGCTCCCACCGGCTCTCCATCTCTGTCCTTGCGGGGTCGGTCAAGGTCTCTGTCACTTCAGGGCAGTGCTGTCCCTTCAAAGACTTGGTGCTGAGCTTTAAGAGCCTTCAACAACTAAAAGCAGCGCAAGGCGAACCCCTATGGGAGAACCTCCCTCCTGGCTTCTGGGCGGTCGACTGAGGACTGCAGCTCAAGTTAGTATCTGCGGGTGCATCTGAACTTGGGAAGAGAATAGCTTTCACGTGACTAACTCAAGCTGGAAGACGGCCGGGCCGCGGAGACTAGGGCGCAGGCCCCGCCAGAGTGTTTAGTTTAGATGCACGGCCACCTTGCGCGTCAAAAGCTTTTTCCGACAGGGCTGCCCGCCAGCTGCCTTGTCACTGTGTGGCCGGTGTCCCATCCATGCCTGACAAGCTTTTTGACAGAGGCTGTTACTATCTTTTGCTTAAGATGCTGCTTAAAACGTTACAAATTGTTATTACTTGGCAGACATAGTATCCTGTCTGTCCTCTGGGCATAGGCTTTGATGGTGGTATTTTCATTCCCTCCCTCCCTCCCTTCCTAACTTGCTACTTTCCTTTTTTAAAGGGCGGGCCAGTGATTGCCTTGCAGGGAATGTTTTCTGGATTCTAACTGAGCTACTAGGAAGCCCAGTGGTTGGTATGACGCTTCGATCCTCAGAGGAGGTGCTGGACCTCAGGGGGGTGACCTCCGTGGGCTCTTGCTTTGACACACACACTCTCGCTTCAGTGGATCAGTTTGCAGGTTGTACTTGAGTGAGTGGACACGGGCGTTCTGGACCAGGGGGTCTCGTGGGACGGGTTCCCCAGGCTGGGGAGGCACGGGCTGGCCTTCGCTCTGTTGCAGGTAACTGGGGGCTGGAGGGCGGTTGATGCCCACATCATCCTGGAGAGCGGCCCGTTTCCTCTGAACTTAGGATCAGACAGTGGTTTGTTTTTGAAACAAGAGATCTTGTTCTTAACCTACCGTAAGCGGCTACCATAAGCAGTCCAACTGCACTCCCCTGGAGCGGTCACTCGGCAGGCTGTCCACAAACAGCGTGTCCCCGTGGTGGCCGTCTTGTGGGACTTGCTCTGTAAGGCGGCCTGAGCCGCCCTTGGTCGGAACAGCAGAGACCACCGTTTCAAAGAGCGAAGGATTTCCTTCAGACAGTTTTTGGGAAGTCTGAGAATTAAAGGGGAGAAATGTAATGTAGCTTTAAAACAGGGATGTTCTGAGAAGGGAATTATCTTTCATTGCACAATCTCAGCTTTTGATTGTGTGTTGATTACTCTTCCAGAAAGAGGATAGATTTTAGAGAGAAAAATAGGAAAAAAAACCCGGAATTATTAATGCCAGTGGAGATATTAAGAAATTTCTCTCCTGTAAAAATGGTGGGAACGATACCATTGTCCATGGGTTGGCAAATGACAGCACGTGGTCCCAATTCGGTGGCTACTTGCTTTTGTAAATAAAGTTTTATTGGAACCGAGAGATGCCTGTCTGTTTGCATGTTGTCCGTGGAGGCTTTCACTTCCTAGTAACAGAGCTGAGTAGCTGCAAAAGAGACACGGCTCACAGCACGGAAAAAACAGGTTGTCCACGCTCCCAACAAACGGTATTAAAGAGCATTACTTCGGGGGTTGGACTTGGGGTGGGGGAGGGGTGCAGAGGTGACGCACAGGGTTTTTAGGGCCGTGCAAATAGTCCGTGTGATCCTGTAGTGATGAACACGTGTCATCATACATTTGTCGAAGCCCGTGGATTGAATGCAACACCAAGAACGGACCCTGGGTTAAACTGTGGACTTTGGGTGAATTGGTGTGTCAGCGTAGGTTCATCCGTTGTAACACATGGTAGGGGTGTTGGCGACGGGAGAGGCAGGTGCGGGAGCGGGAGGTGTGTGGGCAGTCTCTGTGCCTCCTGGACTTGGCTGTGAACCTAAAGCCGCTGTAACAGACTAAACACAAAGCAATTCTAAAGCCAGACCGATGCCCTTGGCTTGTGCACTTGGGTGTTTTGTTTTTAAACAGCTCCCGTGCAGCGTGAAAGGGGCATTTACGGGATGTTGTTTTGTTTTGTTTTTCTCTTTCTCTCTCTGGAAGCTCCCAGGATCCTTCCTCTGCCTGTGGCCCTCTGCGGTTTCGCGATGACACGCCTTCTACCGGGGTTCTTTTCCTCCATTGTCCTGGCCACTCCGTGGGCCCTTTAAGCCTGGAACTTTGTGTGCCTTCCCTCTGTTTTCTGTGTCTTTTCCCTGGGTCCTGTCTGAGACAGATGTTGAATCTGCCGGATTGGTCTTATCTTTTACTTCCTGTTGTCTGCTGCTTTGTGTATTTTGTCCATCTCTCTGCGACATTTTTAAAGTTTTATTTACCAACCCTGCTACTGAATTTTATTAGGGTTTATGTATACATAATATATATTTTTTGATTTTTGAGAGAGAGAGAGAGAGAGAGAGAGAGAGAGAGAGAGAGAGAGAAACCTCAGTATGAGAGAGAAACATCGATCGGTTGCCTCCCATATATTATCTGATTGGGGATCGAACCTGCCACCTAGGCATGTGCCCTGATCGGGAATCAAACCTGTGACTTTTCAGTGTACCAGCTGATGCTGCAACCAACTGAGGACACTGGCCGGGGCTGATTTTTATGTTTTTAATGTCCAACAGGTCTTTCCTGAGCTCTGATCTTTCAAAAAGCATCCTGTTCTTTTTTCCCTGGGTACACTCTCCCTTCCCTGTCTTCGTTTGCAGGTTCCATCAGCCCCCACCTTCTGTTTATTTGCATCTTCTTTTTACTGACTACCTGGTAACCCTCGGCTGTCTGCTCTTACTTAAGGCGGAGCCACGGAAGCCAACTGGGCGGAGCTCATTAATCGGGCTGTGTTGCAGGGTGGTCGGGGGTGAGCTGGGCTCTCGCAGACTGGCCCTGAGCATGAGCATCTGCCCTTCACTTTGAGGCTATTGGGTTACACAGGCGGAGCCTCCCCAGGCTCCTGCCGGGTGTCCATGAGCCTGGCATTCTGGGGGCCTTGCAGAAGGGGCTCGGGTTTGCGCAGGTCACTGCAGACTGCCCCTTCATCCCCCTGCCTTTGGTCTGGTTGCTCAGCCCTGTGCTCTGCCTGCCTGCTCTTCCCAAGCCCAGGGCCTCAGCCGCTCAGACCTTCTGTCCTCTTCAAGAGGCAGGGAGGCGGCGGCTTCCTGGTTTGCAGGTTGGGGTGGCAGCCTGGAGAGTGTGACCGTGTTTCTAGGGGCTTTGCACCTACCTCCCTGTTTCCCGCCGCTGGCAGTACCTGGTGCCTGCCGTTCAAAGCTGTGTGGGGTCCTGCCTGGAGGAGAAGGAGCTCCCCCAACACCCCCCCCCGGCACCATTCTCTGCAGACACAGCACACGCTCCTTGTCTCTGCGAGTCAGTGTCA